TCGTTGGAGACGGGTTATTGACTTATTGTGTCCATTTATAATTGGTTATGATCAATTACTAAGTGTTATTAAATTTCCACTCTATTCGGATTTTACTTTATCTTATGATGATTAACAAGTGTAATTTATTTTATATTCAAAACCGTAGCACGTAGGGATTATATGCTGGCAATTCATTATCATGTGAACGCCACTGGAGCCATTTTAACCAATAATTTCATTATGTTATGGGTAGAGAATTCCCAACCACTTGGTCATGCAATGCACATCTCTATCATATTATTATTTTTTAGTTAATGATCTACATATACTAATACTCTTTTTGTTAAATGTTGACTTTCAAATAGCAAAATCATGATCCTCACCTTCTCGAAAATTTAATCATTTTATAATACACAAATTATGTCTAAGATAATTGGTACGCACAAGCCGGTTTGCTTGTTTCGTCAATGGATGCCTCAATTCCATTCCTCTGTCTATACATCTCAAAAGCACAATCTTTTTATTTATCATTGCTTCTTCATATATTACAGATTTCATGAAACCTTGAATTATCTCACTAGTTTCTTATTCCTGATTCATATTTCGCTTTGGGAACAAGTAAGTATCTCTTCCCCTAATCAACATCCAATTCTTGTTTCTGATTAGTTCTTATGTTAAAAGAACAATAGGTTCAACAAGATTTTGTTATGATTCTACGAAAGTATAATCAGTTTGTTACTAGCTATAGAGTTCTTGTGCTAATAACCATCAAGATTCTTGTATATACCCTTTATATTTATCTATAACGATTTGACGTTTTTTCAGTTTTTACCATTTTCTTACTCAGATTTGAAATCAAGAACACAATCTGAGGATGTTGAACGTCAAGAACATGATGTCACTGATGAGCACAACCTTAACAAGGTCAATGCCAGCCATTGCATTCTTCGGGAGAATGGCATTTGCTTTTGTCTTTATCATCTCTGCTATCCAAGAGTAAGAAATTATAACAAATACGCGATTCGGTTAATTAATTAATCAAGGCTTTATTATTAAACATCACGTACACAATCTCTGCTAGTTATGCTGATCATTTTAGCGATGGTGGACCGCTCGAAAAAACGGTAGGACCAGCAGTGAATGTGATAACCAAATATGGCTCTAAGGTTCTCACATTTTACACTGGAATGCAAGTTGTTGCGTTCGATGTTCGACTTTTGGAGTTTTCGCTCATTACCGCAAAGGCAACTGCAGCTTTATGGTTCATCTTTGGACAAACCATCCCTGCCTACTTCTTGGTAAAAGCATAAATATCTATCTTAAAAAATGTGATCTTTCTCTCTTTTTTTACAAGGATTATAATCTCAAAACATGTTTTGTTGATTCAGCTCACAACGCAAATTCTGTCAACTATTATTCCTTTCCCTACCAACTTGAACGACTTCACTCAGGTTTACTAATTAGCTTTGTTACCGCGTAAATCAACACATTGGATCTCAGGGGTTTAACTGACCAACCTTTCCCTTAATTTGCAGAACTTGACATTAATCGGCGCGTTGCTCTACTACATTGGATTGAAGCATACTATTGACAACCTCG